GCAAATAAGAATCATTATACAGTTCATGCTACTGCATGGTTACAAAAATCTACCAATCCTGTTTAGCATCAAATACCTTTTATTATCTCTCCCATGGTTCACCATTAAAGATTTTACCTATCAAATAAGCTTTACTAATTAATGATTAAGTTGTTTATCCTCTGGATTAAGATGACTCAGAACCAGCCTGAGGTAACAGCATTGCTGTACTGAGTTGATACAATTCTAACCAAAAGGGAAGGCTGTTTATTAGGTCATGGTGAGGCTAGGCAGCCCCATGACTGATAAAGACACAAATGTCCTTAGCTTAGGGATACACTGAGGACCTCCACCATCCCTTCCCATACCCTAGGGCTCCTGAATCCAAAGTACTTCTTCATTTTGACAGCAGAAAAACTGAATTTCACAATGAATTTCCTAAGGGCACCCATTATTCCATGACAGAGCTATTAAAAAAAAAAGGATAATAACAATAGTAGCATAGTAGCAACCACCTCTATACACACCACTTACATAGGCAGTGTTCTAAGCACTTTGCACATACAACCGCCTTTAATCTTTATACCTGTATGAGTTAGGAGCTATAATTGTCCCCATATTTGAAAGGCAAAACTGAGATGCACAAATATGATATACAGCTGTCCAAGGACACATAGCTAATAAATGATAGAGCCAAGACTTGAGTCCTGATGATTTTGGCATCAGAATTCATGCTCTAAACCAACACATGATGGTACCTCCTAGAGCTAGCAAAAGTTTGCCATATGTTATTTATTCTTGCTTTCATTCATTTACTCAGTAAGCATTTATATTGGGCTAGCATCTTCTCAAGAAATTCAGTCTTCTGAGAATGACAAATGAACATAATATTAAGCAAAATACTCTAAGATTGTGGTACCAGTCCACGGCATGTTAGGGACCGGACCGCAGAGCTCTGCCACCAGCCCCCACCTCATCCATGGAAAAACTGTCTTCCATGAAACTTGGTGGAGAGGGGTGCAGGGCAGGAGGTGAGCACCAGCAAGAAGAGGTTGGGGACCACTGCTCTAAGAGATGTATGCAAAGAGTACTCTGGAAACAAGAGAGAAGGCATGCCCCATCAGTTGTAGCTGGAGACAGACGTGGCTGTCAGGAGTTGCAGTGGACTAAACTCTTATGTCCCCCAAAATTCATATGTGGAAATCTATTCCCCAGTGTGACAGTATTAGGAAGTAAGGCCTTTGGTAGGTGATCCTCACTAATGGGATCAGTGCCCTTAGAAAGAGGCCCAAAAGAGATTCCTCGTCCCTTTTACCATGTGAGTTTAGAGTGAGAAGACAGGTCCTCACTAGACACCAAATCTGCTAGCATCTTGATTTTGGACTTACAAAACCCCAGAACTGTGGGAATTCGATTTCTGTTGTTTACAAGCTATCCAGTTTGTGGTATTTTGTTATAGCAGCCCAAACAGACTAAGACAGAAGTATACTTAATATAAAACAGCATTTCACCCCAAATAATCCAATTAGCATTAGCATTATTTGGATGGTACCTTGAATTTGTTAAGAATGTCTCTGAGAGTACTTACTGCCACTCAATATTGATCAAATATAAAGGATCAAATGGAGGGGAAAGAATCATTTGCCATATTTATATTAAAAATAAAAACAGAACAATAAAGACAAGTTGATAACCAGAAAATCAAGAAATATTCCTGTTTTAAACGGGTATGTGGGTTTCACTGGATTGTATATTAAAGCTGTAGGAAAACACTGGGTGCTATGTATGGTTCGTGCCTATAGTCCCAGATACTCAGGAGGCTCAGGCAGGAAGAGCACTTGAGCTCAGCAGTTCAAGGCTAGACTGGGCAACATGGTAAGATCCTATCT